GCTGTATACGGACCGCACGAAAATAAAAAAACTTTTGTCTGATTCGCGAACGGATCCGTTTGTCCATCATTCGCAAGCGGATCGGATACGGAGTTCGCGAACGGACAGAATACGGAGGAATACGGAATAATGTGCTGTGGTTTTCTGAAAACGGGTCTCGTGCGGTCCGTATGCGGTTCCTATTTCAACCGCGCGCGAAGCTGAGCGTCCGTAACGGATCCGTTCGCATTTTACCTGTGTATATGGATTCAAAGTGGACGGTCTGCTGGCGTTCTATTAGAGTGTTTACAGTAAACTGATATTGGAATAAAGAAAGCAAAGGGAAATGAGAAATAGGGTTTTAGGTAGGGTCGGTTTTGATAGAGAGGTAGGATGTTTGATAAACTAATGAATGTTGTACTTTGTGAAGAGAGAAAACAGATCTCCGGAAAAGTTCTTGAAGTCCTCTGGGCTGGTGGCTTGTAATGTGGCCAGTCCATTCATTACCATTGTGCCTGAAAATAGAAAACATTTGAAAATTTAAACTGAAATAGAAACATACCGATGAGCAATGAATGATTTGTTGCGTTTTTGGCGACATTCATAATTGATCCTTTTTGATGGACAGCCAGTGCAAGTGCTTCTTGCATTGTGTCTCTGCTTGAATTTTGGTGATCTGCTCCGACCGAAACTTGCATTCGAACTGGAGACTGCTCACGTAGCATTGAGTGAACATCGAATGCAGTAGTGGTTGAAGAAGTAGATGAAGACGTCGATGCTCCAGAAGAAGATGCGGTTGAGGGAACCTTCTTATTGAACTTCTCTCCAGCTCTTCCTCCGTTGTAGACCTCCAATGACGATCGTTTTCCAGGAATCGCAAGTTCTCCATTCAATTGACGTTTCCTATTTTCCAAAAGTCTTGCTGGTCCCAACGAAGTGTTTGATCCAACTCCATTCATTTGTGCAAGTGATGCAGCAACTCCTCTCAACGATGGCGGAATCGGAGGTGGCAATCCATATTTACTTTTCTCTGCTCCTGCTGATTCTTTGGCAGCTGCGGTTATTTTCGCTGGAACCGATGTCATTGAACGGGTCGGTGGTGTGGTTCGAGAAGACAACATCGGTGACACGGACGCAGGACGAGCATTTTGGTAACCAAGAAACGACTTTGGCACTAAAAACGAAAACGATGAGGATTAGAAAAACATGAGGAAAGAGCTGTTTAGATGGGTTTCATGCTCAACCATTCAAAAATGATCATATAACTTACATGGTCCACGAGTGCCAAGTTGTTTTGGCACAACATTATACTTTCTCTTCTTTACAGCTAGAGAATCACTGTCAGCAGAGAAAACCCCAGCCAACGCTTCCATCAAGTTTCCGATGACTGGTTCTGCTGCGATCTCTCCAGTGGATCTTGTGCTTGTAGCTCCTCCATCTTCTTCCTTCTCATCATCTTCACCGTTCTCTCCACAGCTCTCCTCTCTTTCCAAAATTGGTGGTGGTCCATCATCATCCTCATCTTCCTCTTCTTCCTCTTTTTCTTCTTCTTCTTCTTTGATCGCCTTCTTCTCCTTTTCAGCCTTTGCAATGGCCATGGATCTTCTGGTTTTGCTGGCCATATCACTGTAAAAATGATGATAAGATAACAATTAGGTACATTCTTTGGAAAGTGAAAAATTGGAAAAGAGAAATTAGAGATAAGATGAAAACGGTGAAACTTTCCATCTGGTATTTAAAGTCAGATATTGTGATAATGATGAGAAGGAGAAGAAAAATGTAAGTCCTAAATCAATGGATATCCTATTGTTGTTAAATAGACTGCGTTTCTCCGAGAATCAACTAGCGCGCGGGAAAAATTCAAACAACTTTTGGAATAATCAATTCTGATAGTAAATTTCTGGATCTTCCGGAATTTTAAATTTAAGACAAAGCTAAATTGATTTTCAAAAATGGATTATTATTTTAAAAAATACACAAATCCAGTCGTAGAGATACAAATCAAAGAAGATACAAGGGATTCAGAGAATTGATACAGATCTTAAGGGTGTCAGAAAGAACATCTGCGTAGATCTTATCACCATAAAATAGTTCATAAGTTCGACAGATAATATACACTTTTACTTTTTTTCCAATACCAAGAAAAAAAAGAATCGAACAATCCTCTCCGTCCATGCACGTTTCTTCTTCTTCTCCTTCTTCTTCTTTGCCCAGTTAGACAAGGAGAGACTTAGAGAAAACGAATGGCTGGGGTTATGTGGTGTGTCTCGCCACGATTTGAAAGGAGTACGGTGGAAAATGGGGTTCTGTAGGTGCGTCCATCTATTGATCAGCAACAAGCAGATGGTAGGAAAAGAGAAAGAGAGTTTCAGAAATCTACAATTTCGATTGAGGATAATGAGAGAATGAAGTGGTCTAGGGAAGAGAGGGAAGACTACTCATTGGAATTCCAATAAAAAAGAGCGGGAAAAAATTATTTTAAAAAATCGTTCCGGAAAATCACACTGTAAATATTATGTCCATATTATATAAGAGAGAATATTTAGGCCTAGCCTAGCTGTTAGTCTATTTTCAGAGCAGATCTTTTAAAAAAATATCAGATCTGATCTCAATAAAATTTTTAAAAAAACCATTATTTCCTAGAAGTAGTCACTTTTTTCTCACGGAGTGCTAGATTCTCCTATCTATTGATTATTAAAAAGGCATAATTCAACTACTCCTGAAAACTGAATAAGGTTTCTTATCATGATGTGAACAACTTTTTTTCTCGTATCTTTTTCTCTCGAAAGCGCAAGAGTTCAGTTGAACACGAAGAGATGCAGACAAAAAAGGCTAACGCTGAAGAACGGGAAACCTGCCATGGATTGAAATGGTGGTCGTATCGACACTTGGGGAGATATCTACTATGTATGGACTATGTTATAAAAAAATTTATTGAAAATTGCAAAATCAACAGCTAAAACAAAAATAGGGTACAAAAAATAGCGAAACAAAAAAATCAACGAAAATGGGAATAATCATCGGGTCACTCTTCCATATCTTCGTAGTCCACCTCTTCCTTCACTTCTTCTTTAACCGCTTCATCTTCATCGTCCGCTTCGTCTTCAACTGCCTCTTCTTCGTCTTTGATGGCTGCTCTGAAAAAAAGTAAATTATAATAGGAAGAAATCACAGAGAGTCCCTCACTTCTCAATCATTTTCACATAGGCTCCTGTCAAGTGGCATAAGGAATTTTTGACGCGGACATTGCTGTATTTGACCAAAATTTTGTCATCGATGCCTACTTGGTCTTCAGATGTTTTATCATTCAGCTTTACGTGAATTGTGATCATTCCCATCACAACTCCAACGATAAGTCCCTCCTGCACATATTTCACATTTGCTTCGTACTTGTCTCCAACTTTCGGACTTAAAAAACATTTCGTTAAAATTTTCTCAAGAAAAAACATACATGAATACGATTTGATTAATTGCTACATCAGTATGGAATGCGTACTGATCGGCAATAACGCGTGGCGCTGACACAGTTTCTACATTTCCTACGGCCACAACGATTCCTTTATACCTGAAATTTGGCATATCAACAACTATTTATAAATAAACTACTCACTCGTTTCTATACTTTCCGACCGTATTTTGAGCGATCCAATTGATTGATTCGTCCATTGCACTCTTTCCGGACATGTGGTAAGGTAGAGAAACGTGACGTGGCATTTTCTTCTGAACCAATTGCCCACCCTTTCCTTTCCCTCTCAGCTTCTTAATCAGCTTGAGTCCATCTTCATAACTCATGAAAAACTGATCCTTGAAAGATTTTTTCCCGGCTTTGATGTTCTGTCCAAGATATCTCAGTCGATATTCTTTGTCTTCTTTTTTCTTCGGGACTTCTTCTGTTTCGATGACTTTATTTGTTCCATCTTCGTTTTCGATGAACTTTTTCCTACCCATGTTGACAATCTGATCTTAAAACTGAGTATGTTAGAAAATGAATAGTCAGATAGGAAGTATGTATAAATACGGTTCTGAAACCGATTGAAATTTGAGAAAAAAGAAGGTTGAAGGCTTGGAGCATATTTATTATAACATATTTTCAAAATCTAAACGGAATGTTTGGCCAGAGTTGCGGATTTCGAGCATATTCAGACTCGAACTTCATTTCAATTGCACTTTCCATTGACAAGATTTTCGTCGCTTCTTCTCCGTAATCTTTTTTCGCTTTTTCTCGTTTTGCTAGAAACTCAGCGCTAGCATCTCGATAATCTGCTGATTTTTCTACTCGTCCACGAACAGTGACTGAAAATATTTACGTTTGCACTGATTTTATATTCAGAAAGTTAACTCACTTTGCTCGATATTGACATACTCTTCTTGGTTTCCCTTCTTTTTGGATTCCACATGTTTTTGCTTTTCTTCAGCTTGTCGTTTTTCCTTCACTTAAAAAAATAATTTTGGTTGGAAGAATCGTACCCAACTTCTTACACTCTTGACGATGATTTCGAGTTTTAGCGAAGAACTCTTTCATTTCTTCGCTCATTTCTTCCCTTTCTTCTACGTCTTCACTTCGAATTTCACATCTCGATAACCTCTCCGTCATCTCTGGCTCTTGAAATTCTTGACAATGATCATCGTTTGGCAATCCGTTTTCTTGACACACTAAAAAATGCGAGTGAAAATTAGGTAAATACTTAAATTAATTACACTGCCGGGTAGCTTTTATATGTTGCTGCAGCCATCGTTGCGACATATCATAATGTATCCAGAAGTGTTCGAATGATGGATCTTGAGCCCATTCATTATTCTGAAGGAACGAATTCATATTTCAGAAATCTTTGCGAAAAAAAGGTTTTCCTCGAGGACTCCACAAAGCATGACCGAAGTTTCGCAGCGTTATTTCGGAGTGTCGTTTGCACGAGGAAAATTGCGGAAGCCTTTAAATTTCTTCGTTGTTGTTGATTTGTCGATATTTTTATGTGCATTCAATTTTTCAGATTTCATAAATGACAACTATCGAAAGCAAATCTTCCACAACAGCGTCTTGTTCTTCAGAATCATATGCGGTAAGAAGTTTTTTCTCAAAATCTTCCAACAACTTTTTTTTTTCGAATTCTATTCGAATAGACCAATCGGTTTATAAAAAAGGAATAATCATACAACTCCAATTTTCAGACAAAATCTCTGATTCCCCTTGGTCCCACTGGTAAGCGTCTTGACTATATTACATGGCATCAACACCACATGTATATGACCAGAATGTTGAGTGAAATGAGTACATCACAAGAACCAAATGGATGCTATATTGTCGACGAGGACAATTATCAAATAATTTCCGGGTATTCTGGAGGTAAAAGCCCAAGTTTTTCAAGCTTTCTTAAATGTCCATGTTTTACAGAAGTAGCATCTAAAAATGATTCTTGTCAGTGCGCGATTCTGTCTGCTCTCCGAAAGCTAGAAAAGAAGGCAATCAGTGGTGACAACTTCATCATGTACATCACGACTTTCCCCAGCTGTACTCATTGCTTGGAGAGGATACTGCATATGAAGATATCGAAAATCTGGTATTGGAATCCAATTGATTCTACCGTGGATGGCCAAATTAAAAATCTCGAAACTAACGGTATCAAGTGTGAGAAGTATCAATCAACTCGAACGATTTCAATCGATTTCCATGAATGATTTCGGATAATTTCTGAGAATGTTCATATCCACTCATTTTTACAAGAGATCCTAATATCTTGAATTCAATAAACTAATCATCAAATGAATATTTGTTCTAACATCGGGATGTATCATACTGACGTTTCCTGATAGGGATAGAAACAGGAATTTTGTATTTCATACAAATCATTCAACGAAAAAAAACGACGTGAAACGACGGGAAATACTGAAAAATGAGGCTGATTTTCAACAGCGTTTTACGGAATTTCGAAATTTGTCTGAATTTTTCGAAGTAATTTTTTGAAAATACATAACTTTGAGACATTTTTATGCAAAAAAAATTTAAAAAATATATACCGTAAAACCTGTATTAGAAGGGCCGGCCCTTCTATTTTTCGTGGGGTCCCTAGGGGGGCACTTCAATTAGAGGGGGCACTTTGTATTTTTCGTGGGTCCTCTGAAAACAGAACTTCTATTTGAGGGACATCATTTTTCAGTTGAAATTTCGTTTTTCTACTAAAAACCCATTACAATTTCTACATTAAAAAAAACAAAACACCATCGAATTTTCAAAAACTGGGACCTGAAAATTTCGCGGCCCGGCCTTGATTCCGCCATTTTACCAAGCGAAATTAATTTTTTTTAATTTAGAGGGATTTTCTGATCAAAATTCAGATTTCTTGGTAAAACTTTGATCGCTAGAATTTCTAGAATTTTTTGAATTACAAACTCAAAGCTTAATTGCGAAAATTGCTCGAACGAGAAAACATCTGTATTACTAGGGAAGGCCCCAACTCGGGTGTGGCGATACGCATGGTGACCTATGTCATCTGAAAGCTGACATTTTCCTGATTCCAAATCTGTTTTCAAAAAGTGCATTGTGGTGGTAGTTTTCGAGAAAACTGGGTCGGAAGTTTTGAAAAAAACGTGGATTTTAAATACAATTTTAATCCATCGCGTATATAAGTTTTTGAGTGTTGAAAAAATGTGGAAGCGTGGTCGAATGGTTAGTGAGGAGGAATATTGAGCGGGTACTTTCTGGTTTGACTCCCTCGACCTGCTAAACTTTTTTGAATTTTTTCATTGTATTTTTCCGGTGATTGTATCGGACTTCTGGATGATGTTAAAGGTCATGAAATCTTGTGAAAAGTCTTATTTTATTGTTTCTCTGCGTTTAGAATGTATTTTTAAAACAAAAATTTTCGAAACAAAAATTTGAAAAACTTTCAGATTATAGAGAATTATTCGAAATACAAGATACAGTCAGAAATCCCGATTCCATGTACTCTTTTGAAAACTCCATCCAAAAAAGTTAAACATGTACTGAAATCCCTTTCAGAGCTCATAATTGTCTTCATTGTGAAGAGGTTGATATATTGGAGATTCTAGGCAAACCACTTGTTTATGATTTCTCTCTACATTTGGACATTAGTACTTTTAAAAACGCTGATTACAGTACCAAAGTTATTTTCTTCAAATTGGCCATTCGAAGACAATTATGAGCTCTGAAAGTGATTTCAGTGCACACTCCTAGTTTTTGAAATGAGTTTTGAAGGAGTTGATGGTTTCATTCCTGGGTTTTTTTAAATTCAATTTTCATTTTGAATGTTTCTCTATAAACTGAAAGTTCTTTCAAATTTTTTTTTCGAAATTTATTTTTTGTAAAAATCGCCATGAGGTACCCCCTGGATTTTTTACAAATTTTCGAAAAATTTTGAATGTCCTAAATTACGTTCTAAACGCAGAGAAAATAAAATAATTTTTCACAAGATTTCATGACCTTTAACATCATCCAGAAGTCCGATACAATCACCGGAAAAATATAATGAAAAAATTCAAAAAAGTTTAGCAGGTCGAGGGAGTCAAACCAGAGAGTAGCCGCTCAATATTCCTCCTCACTAACCATTCGACCACGCTTCCACATTTTTTCAACACTCAAAAACTTATATACGCGATGGATTAAAATTGTATTTAAAATCCACGTTTTTTTCAAAACTTCCGACCCAGTTTTCTCGAAAACTACCACCACAATGCACTTTTTGAAAACAGATTTGGAATCAGGAAAATGTCAGCTTTCAGATGACATAGGTCACCATGCGTATCGCCACACCCGAGTTGGGGCCTTCCTAGTTAGAGAAACGGCATTCAAATTTTCAGATGCCAGTATTTTTGAAATCAAACAGTAATTCAATCAAAACAACAGAAAAAAGGGCTGAAAATCAAAGGAGATAGTCAAAGGGGCACTTCAATTAGAGGGAAGTACTTCAAATAGAGGGAGCACTTCTATTTTTCGTGGGGTCCCTAGGGATGCACTTCAATTCGAGGGGTCCTTCAATTTCAGGGGCCCTTCTAATACAGGTTTTACGGTATTTCGATCGGATGCCCCCCATTAATATTGTAAAAAATCGGGAAGATACTTTCTTGCTAAATAAAAGTTGTATAAAAATGAGTTTATTTTCAACTTGTGAATAAGAAAGCAAACAATAAAATCGTAATAAATAATAATTTTTCCATTTTTAATGTGGGTCAAATCGATTTGCGATGGGGTGGTTGGAAGGCTACAGTAACTTGGTCATGTTATGAATTTCAGTTTCAGTTTCCAGCGCACCGGTAGTAACAAGAATTTTTGAAAGAAGGGTGTGTGTGTGTGTGATGATTATTAATTTAGTGGAAATCATTTATAAATTGCAGCCTATTGCTCCATCGTAGCCATTTTCTCTCTTCGTCTCGCCAGCGCAGCTTCCAAATCGTTTTTCGCTGGAGCCATCGGAGAAGCTGATTGCAATTTGGTGTTTTCAGATCGTTTTGGTGGCGGTGGTGGGGCTTTTTTGGCCGAAAGGGGAGTACATGGCTTGGGAGGTGTCACTGGAGGAGGCATTCTTATCACAGCGGCAACTGGTGGTGGAGCAGGGAATTCTTCGTCAGAATCTGATTCTTCTTGGGCTGAAATTGAGACACGGTTATTCAAATGAACAGATAAAAATTCAAAACTTACGAATCGTTGGAGACGAAGTGGAAGCTCTTGATACTCGGCGGAGTACATCTAATGGAGCTCTTTTTATTGTTCCTGTCGGTTGCTCATCATACTGTACCTCCGATTTTTGAGATACCACTGAAGGTGATGGTTGAGATGGTTGTGATGAATTAACTGAAAACCAGAACATATCATACGTGAAGCGATAATGATCACTTACCAGAGTAGGAAGCAGGTGATTGATTTCTAACATTGACTGAAAGTGGGCGTGTCGTGTTTGGATTGTTCATCATATGAGAACTCAGTTGAATAGACGAAGCAACGGAAGGCGTTCTTTGATGCGGATGAGGAGTTTCGGAGATAGCAGTGGAAGAGGAGGCAGCAGACATACTGGAAACAGGTCCAAGAGTCTCCCGACGGATTTGGCAAGCTCTTTCAAAGTTTTGAAGAAGTTCTGCGCCATTCTTTGCGATTCTCAATGCTACGAGCCACTTTTTGAATGTCATCTCATCTTCAGCACAAATATATTTGATGAATTGGCTTCTCTTCATTTGCAATGCAGTTAATTTGATAGAGATACACCATGGACTTGGTGATTTGTATTTCTTTTCCCATCCAATTCCGGTGTAGACTTGATTGGAATGAAGGTTCATCAGGCAAGTCAGATCTTTAGTTGTTGGTTTCTTGCTTTTTGGAGCATAGTATAATCCGCTGGGTCTCAGAACGAAGTAGTGTTTCTTCCATGATTTTCTGCCATCAGATTTCAAATACAAAAATCCTTCCATCTCAGGTGGGACGACTGGTTCTCGATTGAAATAATCATGGACAAACTTTTGTTTCACATCAATTGTCCACTGATCTCCAGGTGGAATTTCCATGTGATCTGATGTTTTTGGAGTGAGCAGATAGAGTTCCGGGCGGGAGATGAAAGTATATTTATCCGGGCGTCTCATGAAATACAGCTTGTTCGGAGAGTCCTGAACCCACATGGTAATGTTCTCCACTACTTTTTCGTGGTCCTCGTAGACACGCTCTGAAAATGATTTTTGATGGGATGAGCTTTAAAAAGATATGATCTTACTAATATAAAGTTCTGGGTACTCTTCAACAATACAATGATCTTCCATCAGAGCAATATGATTCTTCTCTGCCAATTGCTTCATAGTCTGAAAATAATTCTTTCCCAAAATTTAGTTTTTTGAGCTTGAGCTTCTTACATCTGCGACAGTCCATCTCTCATCAATCAACATCTGGAGTGGTTGCCCATCTTCTACGAAAAACTTCACCAACATTTTGATAATTTTCGCTTCTTTCATCTTCTCCAATGCTTGACGAATCTTCAGTGATTTTGCTTCTTCTGCATTTAGTTCTCCAGTTCTTGGGGAGACCTGTAATTACCATCGGTTGTTTCATTTTCTAATAGAACAATGTGTCCTGATGTTCAAAAATTTGCTCTAATGCTCTTGTGTCATTTTTCTCAGGCTCTCTTTTTCTATCTTTTTCTTTTCTTTAGAATTCTTCGTGTCATAGAAACCTGTGAATCTTTGATTTGCGAGTAAATTTGTCTCGATCCAAAACATCAAAAGGATAAGCCGACTACGGAGTTCACCTGTCCATTATTAATTGAACAATTGCCAATGTAACATTCGCGCAGATAGAAACAGTGTGTAAGATGAAGAAACGCAGTTTGTCTTCAAGACGTGCCGCACTATTTGATTGAATGGACAAGAAGAAAGCTCACAATATTAGAGGCAGTCGGGTGGAATAAGAAGGTGTCTGATAGGTTTTGACAGCTTCAAAATGTTTGTTTTTACCGTTTTAAAATTTTTCAAAAAAAAAGTAAAAGAACAGATAAGGATACCGTAAACACGCAGTAGGTGACCACCCAAACCGTTAAATTTGAGCTCATATATCTGGGTCAATGTGAAAGATAGTGAAAAGTGGTCAACTGATAAAATGTTAGTTATACAGTACTCCACAAAAGTTTAATTCCACCCTAAGTTTGTACTGAAACACCTATTTAGGTAAATATTCGTGAAAAGGTGTCAACATGAAAAATAAAGGTCTCCCTTCAAACCCTACGTACGAAAAACTTGGAGCCATCAACGTGACCCGGAAACGAGAAACCGAAAAAATTACGAAGATCACGTTTTGGCCGATCCACAAAAGTTCAATTCCATACTGAAAAAGTGAGATTTTGGAGGTTTTGAAGCTTTGCGACAGCCTTTTGAAGGCCTGAGTTTGAAGAATTTTAAGATTCTGACCCCCATACACAGAGACCAATATACACGGTTACTGATATCCGGATTTCCGAATTCAGAATTCCGGATTTCGGTTTTTTTTGGGTTCTGGATTATGTTTACTATATTGTGTGCAGTGGATTTAGAATATGTACTCCGGATTATGTGTTCCGGATTCCGGATGATGTATTTCAGATTAAACTGCAATTTTTTGTTCCACATGTTCACAGAATATCCTTCTATTCATCCATCCGTTATCTGTCTCTCCCCGCAAACCACTCATCAATCAGAAACCTAATGAACACCCGTGAAGGGGTCAACTACTACAACTTGTTTTGTCTACTACTCCCTACTTCATACATCTCTCATCAGTTACAAGTGTCCCCATCTCCCCTGCTCTTCAGTGTGTAATACTATAATGTTCGAAATCTGACCTGAGTGGGGCTCGGAGTGTTCAACGAGTCACGGCAGGAATCGTTCGATGAGAAGGCCGAATTACGGCATCGATTGTTAGATGATTCCGTTGAACTTGAGTCACCGAACGCCGAATCGCCATCTGGCGAGGAGCAGGATGAAGTGGTGGTTGTCATAGAGTTCATCTGAAAATTGCAAGGTTAAAATATGCACGGTTTCCCATTTTTGTTTTAGTTCCCAGAGCCCGGTTCCCTTGCTCTTTTCGAGCTTTGTATGCTACGAGAATGACCTCTTTGTGACCCTTTATGGTAGTGCTCTCTGGCTCATTGAGTAAATAAACATGGTGTTAGGGCTCAACTCTTATTCAAACACCCCTCTTCTCATGGTCCAAATGGAAAGGTGTCTAGGCTTTTTGGGGAATTGGATATGAAATTGTTGAATTAAAAAAACTAGATGCTCCACTTCTAAAAACTAGATCTACAGAAGGTGCTCCTAGATTTGAATATGTATTGTAGAGCGTTCCTTTTTCTCCGGATATCAATTTCCTTTTACCCCGTATTGCATGCAATATGTCACCTCTTCTTCTATTCCTCACTCCAAACAATAAATGCTGTCCTCCGCTGTTCTTTCGAATGCCATGTGTTTTCTATTCATGATCCGATATGCCTAGACCATATGCACAAATGTACACAAAGAGCGTCTCTTCCTTCGAGGATGTTCTCAACATGATCATCTACACCCCAACCCATCCTCATCAGAAATCATCATCCTGATGATGTTGTTGTATCGAATTTCGAGTTTATGTAGAAGCAGAATAAGCGGAGCTCAGGAAGGAAGAGGGGACTGGAGCAAATCAAATTTCTTGTTGTAAGCAAAATGCGATCGGGTCTTAGACCAACTATGGGTTTATACTAGGATTTACCCCCTCTGCTGAGCCAGCAGGCGATGCAACAGGAATTTTGGAGATTCAAGTATAAAAATTTAGTTTCTAATTATGAACAGAAGAATCTAGAAGGTTCCATACCTGATGAATACCATTTTGATAACCTCCTAAATGGGAAGTGTGATGATGATGAAGATTTTGTTGTTGGGTCGCATGATAAGAAAGGGCTGGTGGAGGTGGTGGAAGTGTCGAGACTGGTTTCACGTTGTCCCGACTGGAAGATGCTGGAATTCCAGATACTCCTAAAACAAGAAAAAATAATATAATATTATGAGGATCAAACAAACCAAGAAGTAGTTGATCTCCTCCATTGCTGGAATTCAGTTGAGTCTCTAGAGCTTCAAGCTCTTCGAGAAGTTCATCCAACTGCCAATCGGCGGATTCTGAAAAAATAATTTACTAGCGAAAAAAGCCGATAATTCTATAACTCTTGAAAATTTTGCATACGTTTCTGTTTCATATACGTCTCATACTGCTTGAAACCGGTCCGCTGTCGATCGTGGTACATTTTTTGTGTTTGCTAAAGTTTTAAAAAATGATGCCAAAAACTTAAAACTCTTATCTCAAACGACAAAAAAGGTGTGAAAAGACGAAAAGTATACACTATAAAAAAATTGGGGAAATGAGATGCCACAGTGGAAAAAAAGAAGGAGACTGAGACTATATCGAAATTTGATACGGCGGGGCTGTGGAGGAAAATTTTTGATTCATGGAAGAAAATAAAGAAGAAGAAGATGCCCGAAACTCATAAAAATTAGCATCCAACACAACATTTTCGTTATTATTTTATGTGTTTTTCCGTCTTTATCAATTAGCCTTGTTATCATATTATCATTAGCACGGCGCAACAATATCATCGTAGTACTAATAATATCGATATCAGGCGACAAAATAATTTTGAATAATATCACAAATAAATAATATAGGTTTGCTTCAAAAATAGTGATGAGTTTTTGATTTTTTTAGGAAGAAAAACAAAAATTAATCTTCTTTTTCATAAGCCTCATTAGGCTCAGTGAGTCGTTGAATGGAACGGAAAAGAGATAGAGAAATGGGGATGGACAGCAGAGAGACACAAACAATGGACAGGTGCACTCTGAGGAAAAAGAGCAAGAAGAAGAAGAAGAAGGAGAAGAAATAGGGGCGGAGAGAAGGAGATGAGGTCGAATTGCGACAGATTGGAGATGAGCGAAAGAGTCAGAAGAAGACGTTGTGCGGCAGGAAAAGCAAAAAGGAAGAGAACGGATGTCCAGAAGATATTTTTTAGAGTTGACTACTTTTGAATGTGGTTCAGATTCCTATAGAGAAAGCTAAAAGTCACATGCTCTCAAAATGGTTAGGAATAGTTGACCCTGACCAAGAGTCCAAGAACCGTAAAAATCAATAGATAAGACAATTTATCAGTTACTAACGACCACTAGCAAATTATTTTTCATCTTCTGATCTCTTTCAAATTTTCTAGGAATCACCGCTTGACTGTTTTATGTAGTGGAAACAATCTTCTTAAGCGCACCCGAATTGCTCTGACCTCTTTTTTTGGGTGACGCAACATTTGATAGGTACCCCTGGGTGGAATAAGAAGACGTTCGAATACCAGCTGCCATCAGAATTCTGTGAGAAAAAAGGACCGGAAGAAGAAGAGGAAGAATAGCCGAATGCTAGGGACGGTGTTACGTAACTGGGATCATTGTCGGGGCATGAAGAAGATGAATCGGTTTCTTTTAGAGATGAGTTTATGTGTATTTTTGGAGATTACAAACATTGGGTAAGAATGAAGAGTAATTAATGATGGACCCAAAAAACTGGATGGGCCAGAAATTAGGTCAAGTTTCAGAAAATTTGGCCTTCGACGGATATAAGGGGAAAATTCAGAATTTAGTCATAAAGTGTTCTGAAATATTCAACTAAATTACGAAAGTTGACTGACATTTGTGTTTTCAAAAGAAAACAAGCTGATGTAAAAGGTACTGGAAAATTTAAATAACCGTAAAACCTGTAATAGAAGGGCCATCAACTTGTTAAGTTTGAGCTAAATTATCTCAATTCCTATGCAAGATAACATAAATATGTCAACTGACAAAGCGCTTCTGATATTATGATAAACAATTTGTCCGTTTTAAACTTTTCAATATCTTTCACAGGATAAAAAAGTATTAAATTCGAAAGTATTAAAAATCTCGCCGATAGGAACTCGAGACCCAATCGACAGAATGAGAGAGATAAAAGAGATCGAATGGGGTCGGTTCGGCAAAAAAAGGGGGACAAATGGCCAGCATAAATTAGATTTACAACCACTTGTCACCTTTCAAATTTATCTGTGATGAGACTTTTCGAGAATGAGAGAACAGAAGGAAGTTTATGATTCATCAGTTCAGAGAAGATTCCTCATGATTTATGGTTGAAGTCACACAAAGTTAATTGAAGATTGCGTAGATTTATTACGGTAATGAAGAGTTTCCTGATCAGACACTAAAGATTCAAAACGACTTGTACAAAGGAATGTGAAATCTCTATTGTTTCCTGTAGTTATGTCAATATACATACATACGCTTGTACAACATTTCTGCATATAAGGTGCCAACAACGTGATGTTTGTCAAAGCTTCCAAAGCCTTTCAAAGCCATCGGAATACTGTATGATTTGGAGAGACACAGAGAATCAGAGACCACAAATTTAGGAGCGCCCGGGAGAAACATATCGGTTGTTCTTGTACTAGAGTTATGTGCATATGACACATTTGAGGAGTTGACACGGAACGTACTATAGTGAAATTGAGAAGGAATTCGTGAAACTAAAAAGGAGCTAACTAGGAGTCAAATGAATAAGAAGAAGAATGGGGTGGACTGACTGAGAGTGAAGAAAAGGGATTAGAACTAAAGATGAGGATGGGAACGGAGAGAAACTATTTAAAAGTAAACTAATTGAAGGAAGTTTAGGATTCTGGAATTAACACGAAATGCCCATTTACCGTAAAACCTGTGACTGCCTCTGTCAAGTTTGAGCTCAATTATCTCAACTCCTTGGCAAGATATCAAAAATTAGTCCACAGACAAAACATTATTGATATTATAATAAACAATTTATCAGCTGGAAACTTTTTGATATTTTTAATAGGAATTGAGAAAATTAAGTTCAAACTTGACAGCGCGGGGGACCTTCTATTACAGGTTTTCCGGTATATCCAGAATCTTTTTTTAAAACTATCTTCATTTTCAAATATGAAACCTCTAAAAAGTATAAAGTGAATTTTTAAAAAATCCTCTGACGTAAAATCGTAAAGCTCTTTTTCTTTTTCTCCTTCTGCTCGCCTCGTAGTTTTTTTTCTTTTCGTTCGGTTTCTCGACTCGGAATCTAATTCTCATAAATCACACCGAGTGGAAAAAAGTGTGATTTTTTCCCCTTCTTTTTCCTTGAAAGTTTTCAATTGTTCCATATCTCTGATTTCCAAAAAAAATCCTCAAAAGTTTCGGGGAAAATTGTGTGTTCGGGCGTATTTGCATATCAGGTAGGACGAGAAGAAAAAAACAGGAAAGTGTGAGAAAGTTTCGAGGAGGATTCAGGAATTTGAGAAGAGTCAAATTGGAAATGAAAAAGGCAAAAAGAAGAAGAAGAAAGAGATCTATGGGGGTAAAGAAGGAATCAAATGACATTAGGCGAATTGGATAAAGGGGAGAAACCGGAGAAAACGCTTTTTGAAACATTTTGAATATTTTTGGAAAGTTTAGGTTAGAAGCAGGCGTTTGGAACCAGCAAGTTTTTTTAGCTACTGAAGCTGCGAAAACCGTCCGGCTCTATTTTGGTCCTTGAAATTTTTTTTGGCACTTTGAAATCTCCAGAATATTAAAAAACCCAAAAAATATCCGAAAAATCTGATAATTTTCAAAATTAAAAAACTTTAATAAATTCAGATTTTCTGAAAAAAAAATCAGAAATTTTATTAGTATTTTTGGATTTTTTCGAATTTCTGATATCCCGAAAATAAAAATTTTAATTGTAAGGGCCACAAAAAAATTTTTAAAAGAAAAACCAAAATGTCATAGTTTCTGAAAAATCTAGAAATGATTTTTTGTGCATATAAGTTTCCATATACTGAAACCTAACTGACAGAATCTAAAAACCTCAACCGAATTTATTAGGAAAACCAATATTTCTTGACTTTTTTTGGGCAAAATCTAATCTATCAAGTCCGATTTTCCATCAAAAAAGAGTATTATAATATTGTTTTCCTCTCAGAACTTCAGTTTTTTCTATCCCTATCAGGGATGTGCGTAAAATTTTCATTTTACGAAATTCGTAAAACGTAAAATTTTACGAAAAAACCAACTCGTAAAATCGTAAAATTCGGAAAATATACCGTATCTTCTATTTAAATGGAAAAAAGCAGCAGTGTTATCAATAAGCTATTGAGAAATGCAAATGTTACAAACCGTAGAATCGAATGAGTTTTTTGCGTTTCAACAGTTTTCTGAATTTTAAAAAAAAAATAATTCGAAATTGGGAAAAAAGCCTTCAAAAACTTGATCAAAATAGTTTGAAAATAACGAAATTTATGTTCAAAAATGAGCGTTGTGGGAAAGATCTTCTCAAAAATGGACCCAAAACATGATAATGTATCTAAAAACTGCCAATTTTGGACAAAAAAACGGCAAAAACGCTCATCCAATTTTTACGAATTTTACGGAATAAATTTTACGACACTCGTAAAATGTTAGGAGTGTCAAAAAACCCTAAAATCCGTAAAAATCGTAAACGTAAAATCACATCCCTGATCCCTATACAAATGATTCCATTTGTTGTGTCTTTTTCGTGCCACTCTTGAAATAATAATTTGTCACTTTTTATAGCTTAGGCGGGACGGGAGAAGTCTATAAATTTAGTGTTTTAAATGTTGCATGTTATGGGGAACAGGTGCTCTCTTGGACTCTTTCGAATCAAAATGTAGGTCAGGGAGGAAGGGAACATTCAGAATCGAAATGTAAAGAAAAAGGGAAACGGAAAAAAACGAGGAAGAATATGTGAAGGAATGAAAAAGGACAGCTGTCAACGAACATATCGAATTGAAATTGAAATGGATAGGTAGGAAGAAAAAAGGAGCTGAGGAAATGAATGGGTGTTTTCTAGACAACAAGGTTAATGAGGTTTTCAAATGTCTCCAAGGGTGGAACTGTTTTACGAAAAACACCTGATTTCAATCTAAATTAAGTGCTGAAAGGTCTGAAATTTTCCTGGAAATGGCCTAAAGATCGTCTAAAGTTATCTGAAAATAGGCAGAAGTAGCCTAAAATTGTCTGAGAATTCTCTAAAAACAACAGGTTTCATGGTGGCCAAGACAGAAAGGTATCCAAAAATTGAAGTTCACGCAAAGTTCTCGTAGAGAAATAACCTTGCTTAAAAAGTTTTTTTTTTCGAAAGTTTCCAAAAACCTTCTAACTTCTCCCTAAAATCCATTTCAACTCCTGCCTACTCCTAATCCTAGGTCATAAAAACTAAAGGTCAGAAACGAAACAGTCATTTTGTATCTGAAGAAATCTGGGTGGCCACTGTAAAAACAACCTTCAGATGAGGGGTGTCGCACGGCAACACAATTTCGCACATAATAGTCCGCCATTATCCACTGTCTGCGTCTCTAAGGAACACCCTATCTCTAACTGGGAACACGGAAAGCCGCCTTTGATGAAAATTAAAGAGAGGGAGAGAGAGATGTAACTACTGTAGATACAGGCATTCCAAACATACGTATTCCGATACCTATTAGTCACAAGGATAACGAGGAAAAGGAGAAGAAGGATGTCTAGTTTATATATTTCGATACCGATTTTCAAGGCAGTATGAGACGTTTTTGGTTACCTGAATGTTGGGATTCTTTTCAGATTCGCAACATTGTAAATTCCTATTTCTAAAAAATCAAAATAAATAAACTGACCTTTGATGTTGTTCATACTGTATCTGACAGTATCGATGGGCGGTTTCGGCGGTACCTGCGGTCTGGCTCGAATCTGTACCGGATACGGATCCGGAAAGTCGTAGGTGTCCATGGTGACAGACGTCTGAAAATAAAACAAAAATTTGCATAAGGAACAGCTTGAAAAACAATCAAAACAAGAAACAGCAGGTCAAGAGGAAGGTCCTTATACAATTGGGGTTATGGTTACAAGAAGGGATACTTGATTAGTTATGAATAGGAGAGAAGTAGGGGGTGAGAGAGAGAGAAAGAGAAAGAGACTAGTAGTGTAAAACATAAAACAGTCTGTCTATAGTAGTTGGAGTACCCGCATATGCTCCGCGCGGAAGCTCTTCCTCGTCAAACATTCTCGGGAAGGATTGCGCAAGTCTTACTGTTTGTTTCTCACTATTCTTCCGGACGGAAAAAGTGAAGATTCGAAGAGAGAAAGAGAGATCGAAATGACAACTGGATGACAAGAAAACGATGATAAGAGGAAAATGAACGGTGGGGATGAGGAGGAGAAGAACGTGCGTGCTCTGGGAGAGCATTTTGATCAAAGTGACAGTGATTCTCTGAGAGAGGGGGAGATGGAATATGAGAAGTAAAGGAAAAGGAAACTGGTAAGGCAGAAAAAATGACTATGTTTCAAAGGAAGTTATGAGTATCTGGTTTCAAATTGTAGATGTCAGAATCTTCCTTATATAAAACGCTAGACGCGTCTGTCTGTCCCGGTGTCACTCTGTCAACTTTTGGGTTATTAAATAAGAGATCGGCCGCAACCAAAACTGAACCCGCGACCTTCTGCACAATGGCTGCGCACGCACACAGCTGCGCTATGACGGCAACACCCAGAGAGGGGAGGGAGGACGTAGATATTCTATAGCGCGCTCTCCCCAGTGAAAAATATGAGCTGCAAGCCTTTTTCTCAGCGGAGCGCGGTTGCGCGCGGTGAAAATTTTTATTTTTTAAATTTTGTACTGAAAAACCGGTTTTTAGCAAAATTTTCTTATTTTTCGCCAATTTTTTCAATTTTTCGTCCATAGGAATTGTTAAACTGGCTAAAACACACATTTTAAGTGCAAAAGCAGCAAGTTCCGACAAAAAATGAAAGAGGAGATAGATTTTTAAGCAATTTTCTAAAAATCGCAATATCTTTTTTGACCGGTAGAGCATTTTGGCGGATAATAGTTCGAAACACTCAAAAATGAAATCTTTACAATAGTTTAACAAAATAAATTCTTAAAACACCGAACATTTCGAGAAATTTCCGTTTTTAGGAAATTGCTTAAAAATCTATCTCCTCTTTCATTTTTTGTCGGAACTTGCTGCTTTTGCACTTACAATGTGTGTTTTAGCCGGTTTAACAATTCCTATGGACGAAAACTTGAAAAAATTGGCGAAAAATTAGAAAATGTTACTAAAAACCGGTTTTTCAGTACAAAATTTAAAAAATAAAAGCCGCGCTCCGCTGAGAAAAAGGCTTGCAGTTCATATTGGGAGCTGGGGAGAGCGTGCAGCGTGGGAAAGAAAAAACGAAAAAAAAAGTGAGGGGTGGAGCGACGAACAATTAAAAATGTAGAATTGCGCCGAAGGCGCAGCAGCCAGCAGGCTGGTTCTAAATAAAAGGTATTTTTAAGATTTTTGTATTTCAGAGTTTGAATGTACCCACCCGATATATGCACTTTGATCTCAATTGTCTCGGTTTCTGTAAAAGACATGAAAAATGTGTCAACTGATAAAATGTTTCCCATAATATCAGTAACATTTTTATAGTTGACAAGTTTTTGATGTCATTCTCAAAAATCGAGATAAGTGAGTTGACAGTTTGACTGGCTGGACTTCTATTAAATTGAACACGATAATTTGAAGTTACAGTAATCTCGAAACCTTAGAAACGTCTTCAAATCATCGAGAATAAAAAATCCAGAAGAAACTATTAGTACACGACTGGTATAGTTTCATCTCTGGCAGCAAAAAGAACGTTTTCACTTTATCGAGAAGGGAACGGCTGGGAGAAGAAGAAAAAGAAAACGAGATAAGACACAAAAAAACAATATATGTTTCTTTTCATTTTCGTTTCAACACTCTCTTTCCGATTCGTAAATGTGTGATTTGTTTGAAGAGGAAGAAGACGACGTTTTCTCGAGTACACTTCTTTCCTCAAAAAAAGAAGCTTCTTGATGAAAATTTGGAACCAAAAACGGTCGAAAAAGAGAAAAAAGAGGAAAAATTACGAATTCCATTGTACCAACACAACAGATGAAAACGAGATGAAATTGGGGGTGCGAGAAGAGTGGGGGAGCTATATGCGAAAATTGGCAACAATCTAAAGAGAGAAACAATATGGGTTTCTCTCTTTCTTTTTGGTTATTATTACTATACACTTCTAGTACAATTTGTACATATATTCGTCAGTTTTCTCAATGTTCCAGCTCAATAGAAAGAAGAATAGAAATCAGAAGATGAGAGATAAAATAAATAAAGACAAAGTGTGTTTGTTTTTGTTTTCGTTTTGACTATTTAGTAGTTTTTTGAAAGTGTGGAGTCGGTTATATGGAAGAATAATATTTCAAGAATATACAAGCTTTTCTTGTATTTTTTTGCAACAAAATGTTCTCAAAGTTATTTATTTTCAGAATATTACTTCGAGAAAATTCGGGGAAAAAACTCCTGAAAACGCAGTTAAAAATTAAAAAAAGATGTCGAGTAGGGACGAGGATTTGAATTCCCGCGCAATGAGAAACCTAGGCCACGGCGGTAGGTCGTCTTTATTTGGTGACACATTTTCGGGTTTTTTTTGCGCAAAAAATATGAAAATACATAACTTTTTGAACATTTTATTACAATAAATTGATCAATTAACTTTGACACCAAAAAAAAAAAGTTTTCCTGATATTTTTCCTAGAGAACCCCCATGAGGGGTTGAACTCATGACAGGCAGCTCAGGGGTACAGCGCCGCTACCGGCTGAGCTACGGGGGCGCGAAGGCGCCTGACGACCGATGGTCTACATAAGCGCGGCGCGATTTCGTCCCCCGAACTGTCCCCCGAAATTTTTGCTGTCTCGCCTCCTTTAAGAACAGAAAACCAAAAATTTAAGGATTCTGGGAAGCTGGAGACTGCGGAAAGTAGCTCACAGTCAGATAATCAAGACCAGAATATACAAAAGTTCTCGAAAATATCAAACAGCTAAAAATTAGAAATCGTTTTATGGAAGTTTTATTTAATTTCAAAAATCATTTTTTCTAGTTTTTCTGAAAAAAAAAACTGTCTCTGAAAAACTCTCGCTCTAGAGAAGAAAGTTTCTGGAATTCCTTATGACATCAACTCGCTTCACTTCCAAAAAAAATCGGAAGTGACCCTCATTTCCTGTAGAATCAAACCACACAGAATTCCTCTTTTTTCGAAATCAATAGATAATAATAAAATGATAACCTTGTCAGCAGCAGGAGGAGGAACTTTTGGTGATAAGAAAAACAGTAAAAATCAGGAGATGATGTAATTTGGAACATCATGTTCTTCAAATAATAAAAGTACCGCCCGAGAGGGATTCGAAATTGAAGTGATAATGATTTGGATATTCCGAGGAAAACATGTCACTGATAAGAAAATGAGAAGAGAAGAGAAAGAGACGAATTTCGTGATATTCAAATCAGATAAATGAGGGATAAAATAGAGAAGAGAGGATATGGAAAAAGAGAAAAAGAGAAAATTCGAAATTAGTGTATTTGCATAATCAACAGGTGGTGATTTGATGACACGGGCGGTATGGAACATGTTGATGATGATGATACACATTCTTCGTTTTCATGCAGAAGGAAGGAAATCATTTTCCCCACCCACACAAATATGGGAAAGTGGGAAAGAAAATGGGGAAGAAGAAGGTGAATGAAAAAAGAAAGGCAAACGTTTTTTGTTTGCATTTGTAATGCAATCACTTTTAAGGAAAAGTGAGACAGAGAAACAGTGTTTGAAAAAGAAGAAGAAAGTTAAAAATTGTGAGAGGAATAGTGGACGAAATCACAGAGACATAGAAACCAAAAGCACACAGAAAAAGCATCACCGAAAAAAGCAAGGAGGCCTGTTCTTTTTGTTCCACTAATAGGACGGTGTGCAACAATGGAAAATGAGTAAGAGAGCAGCAAGGTTGGAAGGTGCCGCCTGCTCCCCATGAATGAGTAATAGTATCAGGAAATCCGGGCGGTTCGTACGAAAAACCGAAAGGCTCCTCCGTTCCGTGACGGATGAGTCACAAAGAATGTTGAGACGACACGCAAGAGGTCCATATGGGAATGATCGGATGTCAAATTATGGAGTTTCTTTTGACTTTACAAGTTTTATGGGAATTTTCGAATTTTAGAGGAAGCGGTTTGGATGGTTTGGATGGTTTGAAATATTGAATAAATTAAGCAAAAATCCTCATTGTAGGAAATGTATTTTAACTAAATTTCCGATTCCTGGAAAGCTCCTAAAGATGTCAAACTAACACCAAGAAATTATTTCAGAATAAAAAATAATAAAAAAACTATAATAAAAAACAGAATAAAAAACTCCATTATAAATTCTATATACATAGATTTTATTCGAAAAGGAAACTTTATCTATTAAATATTTTATGATATTTGGCAACAGAGACTTTTATTACTATTATCTATTACTTGTGTATTTATCTGAAATAGAAAAGCCCCTTAACTTTTAACTTGGAGACAATTTATCTCATTTCCTAGAAAAGTTATAAAAAAGTTGTCAACTGATTAATTATTGATCATAATATCATAAACATTTTATTAGTTGACCCATTTCTAATATCTTGCATAGAAGTCAAGATAAACTAGCTCAAAAATGACAGTGTGGGAGCCCTCCTATTACAGGTTTCATGGTAAACTGACAATACAATTTTGGCATTAACTAATGAATAAGTTCACCCAGATGTCAAAATATTGGCAATATTGGTCTTTTGAAATGTGAAAATGAAACTTTCGGGTCCTTTTTGAACGACAAGTCAACAAAACGAAAAACATTGCAAACTTGTTCAGATTACTGTGGGTTGTTATATATGGCATTGCCTATTTTGAAATTCAAAATGATGATGATGGATTGCTTGTCAAATTCAGGCAAAAAAGTTGAAACATACACCAACTTTTTTTCTTCATTTTTCTACTTCTATCATACAAAAATAAATGTTTGATGGACCAAAATGAAAGTGTAAAACTGGATGTGGACAGGTACAAAGTGGTACCTGTCTCCCAGCAGTTATGATGATGTGTGCCAATTCATCATTGAGGAGGGGAGCCATATGAATATTAGATTAAGTTCGACGCCGTTTAGCAGCCCCAATCAGAAATTTATTACGCTGGAGTAAGTGAGTGTAAAGTGCAGGATTGAATTGACAATGAGAATAAGAACATCTGGGGATCTCATTTTTTTGAAAATTATACGGCAAATGACAGTAGGATCAGATTAAAATAAGTGAATGAGAGAAAAGAAAACGAACTAAAAAGGGGTAGAAGAGAGAAATTTGGAATATTCCGAAAGATGGGACACACCCA